GAATCGTATTCCTTTTAAAACCTTATCGGTGGAAGTTGTGGCTGATCTGGTATTGGAGGTGTCAATGGAAGAGCTGAAAGCCGTTGTTTTCTCTTTGTCGGGGGATAAGGCTCCAGGACCTGACGGTTGTTCGGTTTGCTTCTTTCAGAGGTTTTGGTCTATGCTCTCTAGTGAGCTTCTTGGCATGGTTCGTAGTTTTCTTGATAGGGGTGAGTTGTTTAGAGGGGTAAAGTCCACTTTCATTGCCCTAATCCCAAAAAAATCAAGGATTAAGGAATTGTCTGATATTAGACCTATCTCGTTGTTGACTAGTCTCTACAAAATTGTTGCAAAAGTGCTAGCTTTGCGGTTGAAACGAGTTTTGAGTGGTTTGATCTCTGGTCCTCAGACTGCTTTCATTAAAGATAGACTTATAACGGATAGTATCCTAATTGCACAAGAATATATTTAAGGAGCCTAGAGCTATTATCAAGTTAGATATGGATAAAGCTTACGATAGAGTGGAATGGAGTATTTTGCTAGAAATAATGAGGTGTATGGGGTTTGGGGATAAATGGTGTAAATGGATTTTTGGTTGTGTTTCGTCAGCCCACTTTTCAATTCTTATTGATGACTGTCCGAAAGGATTCTTCAAGTCTTCTAGATGTCTCTGTCAAGGTGATCCTCTATCACCGTTCCTTTTTACTATTTATGCGGAGTGCTTTAGTTTGATGATCACAAATGTGGTCAATAATGGTAGATTGACAGGTTTCTCTGTGGGACATAATGGCCCCGTGATCTCTCATGTGGATGATACTCTGATCTTTATGGAGGCAAAAAAGGATTATATTGAGTACTTAGGGAACTTCTTGAGATGTTGTGAAGTGGTATTAGGCTTGAAAGTTAATATCTCCAAAACCTCTTTGGTAGGGGTGAATTGCAATGGAGGTTGAGCTGAGGATTTGGCACAGGTTCTGGGCTGTAAGGTGGAGCAGTTTTCGATCACTTACTTGGGTCTTCCAATTTCTGACTCTAGACTGCCTATCTCTGTTTGGGATTGAGTCATACAACGTGCGCAAATTAAGTTGGACCTGTGGAAACCCAAGTACTTGTCACTTGGTGGACGTGCAATGCTAGTAAAGTCGTGTATGACCAATCTTCCTATCTATCAAATGTCTATGTTGAATATGCCACCCATAATTGTTAAAAGAATAGAGAAGATGATGTGTGCTTTTCTTTGGAGTTCTTTTGAAGATAGGAAGAAATTCAATTTGGTATTCGCAGGTTGGCATTAATGAATGAAGCTCTTTTGACTAAGTGGTGGTGGCATGCATTAATGTTCAAGATCAGCTATGGTGTAAGGTCCTCATTGCTAAATATGGTATTAACAAGTTTAGAGTGTGGATTGGTGGAGGCAGTTTGAGTGCATCAAGATCAATGTTTTGGAAAGATATTTTTCTGTTCAAGGCTGATATTCATAGAGATATAAGATGGTGTGTTGGGAATGGTGCTCGGATTCCCTTTTGGCTTCAAAAGTGGTTGGGTGATAGTCTGTTGAAAACCTCCTTCCCGAATCTTTTTGCCAAGGCATCCTCCCCTAATTCGTTAATTAGTGACATTGTTCAGGTTGGTGGTGAGCCAGTGGTATGGGATATTCACTTTCGGTACGGTCGGGTTACTGATCTTGTTGGTAATCAAGTGTCCAGCTTGTTATCAAAGCTTCATGAGGTGGTCTTATCTGATGATTTGCCCGATGAGCTCATTTGGGAGCATGATAAGGATAGTGTCTACTCTGTTAAAACTATGTACTCGGTGTTGTTCCATGACTGGCATAAATGGTCCTTACCTCAAATCTCCAAATTTAGAAGTGGTCGGTCCCTCACAAGGTTCAGTGTTTTATGTGGTTGGCAGGTTTGAATAAGGTACTCACGATTGACAATCTTATTAAGAGGGGAAAGACATTACCAAATGTATGTTTGTTTTGCAAAGAGGATGGGGAGTCCATCGCGCACTTGCTTATTCATTGTCGGTTTGCGACTAACGTGTGGTGTTGGTTTTTGGGAAGTATTTGGTTTTAGTGCTACTATTCCACAGAGTGTGTTAGTTATTATTACTCAGTTAGTCTTGGTTGGATTGCCTAAATTGGGGATGAAGTTATGACAGATTATTAGAATAGCTATATGTTGGGAGTTATGGAAGGAGCGGAATATACAGACTTTTGAAGGAAAATATCTTCCTTTCCTTTGGAGTGTCTGATCCAACTTATTGTGCATACTTCCTGGAGCTGGCTCTCCGTTCTTGATGAGGGCAGAGAAATAAGGGCGATTGAGGTGAGGCTCAATCTAGTTGAGCTGGTTTATATGAGAGGTTTAAGAATGAGATCGATTGGCAATTGGATATCCCCTGTTCGGGGTAAGTTGAAGGTGAAATTTGATGGGAGCTCTCAAGGTAACCTTGGTCCTTCAAGAGTGGGGGTTGTGGTCCGTGATTGGAATAGAATAGTTGTCTTGGCCTATGCTGGACCAATGGGCACAACCACTTTTGATCTGGCTGAGTTCCGAGCTTTGCTTATTGGTTTAAATTTTATCAGGTCTAAGAATCTCAATCCAAATATAGTGGGGGAAGGTGATTCCTTTAATATGATCAAATGGTGCAACAAGGATCAACGTGTGCCACGGATTTTACACTTGGTTTGGGTTTAGGTGCAAAAGCTTGCGAAGGTCTTATCCTTAACTTTTCAGCATGCCTTCCGGGAATCCAATGAGGTTGTTGATAGTTTGTCAAAAAGAGGTGTTTCGATGGCTGAGGTTTCTATTCTTAAAGATGTGGGGACTGTCTGATGTAATCTGTATGCTTCCTTATTAATAAAAATGATAACCTTTGTAAAAAAAAAAAGTCTCTCAGTTGCATCATTCTTAGAACTATCCTTGAGGAAGGAGGGCTAACATTATAAGACTTTTTATTATTATCCTTTTCAACATCCATACTTCTAAAGCTAAATTGTGATCACCATACTCCCTAAAAGAGAGAACCATATACGTGACTTGAGTGGAGCATGCAAATCCATACGTAAGAGGGAAAGGAAACTCAAAATTGTTTGATGCGGCAGGGACCACATTTTTACATTTATTGTCCTTCCTTGAGTTATAAAGCATCCATCTTAAAAAAAATTGATGCCAATAGGTGGTCCATCTAAAAACAATTGAAATTAATGGTCCAAATGTTTTCTTAATAAAATTATTATTTTTAATTTTTAAAAATTATTTATTTTTTATATTCATGATCTCTATGCTAAAGATTACATGCTCTTAAAAATTAGGCCCCAACACCATCGCAAAAATATATTTTGAAGAGATGACTCATTTCTACATGGACACATAGAAACCGTATCCTTCACTAAAAAAAAAAAAGTCCCACTTTCAAAATTTCTTACTGGGACATCGGGTCTCAAGCATGAATTTTAAATCCAATTAGGTAAACGTTAAAAATTTTTGGGTAATTGTGATGCATGTAAGGATGTCTATTTCATCACTACAAAACAAAGAGAAAATATCACGAAAAGCTCAAACCACCACAAAAAATCCACTAAGGCGTTCAAAGCAATCAATGGTTTACCTTAACTAAATCATTCAAAAATCTTCTCAATTATTTTTGAGAAATGATCAATTGGCATTTGTTTAGAATCAAAACACACCCTAGTCAAATAATATAACTGAGGGTATATTATGAGACCATTTACTTTTGGTACAACAAAGTCACAATTATGTTTAGCTATTGGATGTAAAATTTAATATATTGAAATATACCACAAAATGTAAAATATTCAATTTTTTTTTTAAACTTTATGCCCAACTAATGGCACATTCTCAACCACCTGATTTCACATCTATCTGTTGGGTATTTAATAAAAGAAAAAGTCGAGGCTCTAAACAATCAAATTAGAGCCCATCTCAAAATTTTCACTTAAAGAGGTTGTTTTGATGCTCAATTATCCTCAAATTGATCATCTCGACATCAAGGACATGAGAAAAAAAAAATGGAATTCAAGTTTTGAAAATAGTACGTCTTGTAACACATTTTTAGACCGTCAATTTTTTAGGTGCATCCTAATTCGATTGTTTAGAGCCTCATACTTGTATAAAGTTTTTCCATAATATTATCAAACATAAATAAAGTAATTTATTATAAATTTTTTAACTATAATTGCAAATAATTAACAATAAATCAACAATTTAATATATATAATTATTCTAAACAAAGAATTTAATAACTACTCATTATAATCCTTAATGTTATATTAGTATATGAGTTATATGAATAACTTAAAAATAAACTGTGAAAAATAGTTAATAATAACACGTAAAGCTAATAGAATTTTTTTTCATTCCATTAACTCTTTCCATAGCGAGACGTTATATGGATGTTTGGACCTTTGTGGGTGAAACCATTGTTCACAAAGTTGCACGATCTAACTGTTAACTATCCAGTTAGATTGGAACTGGCTATTGATCGGTTTCAGTTTTGGGCGATTAGGGTGATCAACTGGTATTTAAAAAAAAAAGAAAAAAAATTATATACATGATCAAGAATAGAAATTGATTTGTAATGTATTTTTAAACATTATTTACATTACAGTAAAGATTAAAAAATTTTTTTGTCATTAATACTCACTTTTATATTTTATCATATTTTTTTAAAAAATTTAAAATAGCATATTTTCTCATTTTAAATTTTTTTTTTTTAAAAAATAGCCATTGAAAATATAAAATAGATTAAAATCTATGTGTTTTTAATTCTCAATTATATTGGAATGTGTTTTTTTTAATCATTCTTTATATATTTTTATATTTTAATATACTTTTTGTATATTTCTTTTATTTTTTTCGACACTTTATGACCGGTCTGTATAGGTAGAGCTATTGACTCGGCCAGGGCCGGTTTACAGGTAAGGCGCGTTATACCGCTTCCGAGCCACATCAGGTTATGACGCCCTCTATTTTGTGGGACCTTTTCTCTCGCGCGCTTTTTCTGCTCCTCGAAAGAGTAAAACCTCACAGAAGTTGCATTCCATTGCCCAGCTCTCTGCATCTTCTCTCCCATCCCAGGTACGTACGCCCCATTCTTTCTCACTCATCAATCTCCCTTTTCTTATACAATCAGTTTTCTCTCTCTATCTGCATTCTCTACTGTGTAATTTCACATTGCGCAGAAAGTAATGGATCCCTTCGATCCCGTGTAATGAAATACTTCTATTAAAAATAAGCACTTTGTTGATAAATTGTTTGATTTAACTGCCTTACCGATTCTCTCCGAGTTTAATGGCCTCAGTGATTTTCAGTAAATTTAAGCATTTTAATGATATTTCCAAATGTATATTGGTAAATTTCTCATCATGTATTATCCATAGATAACTACAGAGCCTTAAATTATCAACTCTCGAATGCGGAAGTTCGAAGAAAGAGAATAAGAAGAAAGCAATACTATAATGGTGGACAAGTTTCGATGGGGAGAGCTTGACGAGGAGGATACAGAAGACCTCGATGTCTTTCTTCCTCCTCCTCAAGTTGAAGGCCCTGATGAAAATGGCATAAAAAAGGTGACTGAGTTCAAAATCAATGAAGATGGAAAAAAGGTTCAGAATGTAACCACTATCAGAGCTAGAAGGCTTGTTGTTCGTATATCAAAGAGGGCGATAGAGAGAAGGCAGTGGAAGAAATTTGGGGACGCTGATCATGAGGACGCAAATAGCAGGCTCACCATGGTTTCTACTGAGGAGATATTTTTGGAGAGGCCAAGAGCTCCAGGTACGACTGCCAAAGTTGTTCATATGATTTCTTGGGTTTGGTTTCTAGGCTTTATTTCCTTCATCTATGATTTTAGTACAAGTTTTAGGGTTTGCTTTTTGAACCTATGGTTCTGTTACGATTTCTACATCTTGGGTTTTCTACATCTTGGGTTTTGTCATTAAGTCTATGCTAGTTTATTTACCTGATTTCTTCATGTAGGGTTCTGTTTCTGTACAGGTTTTGGTTTCCTGGTTTATACATCCAGTGTTTTCTTAGTTTATGTATTTTCTGTGCTCTCTTGTGTTACATTTGATTCAATTAGTTGAGTATTCAGAGCCTTGATATTCGGGAATTGGGAGGTGTTTTCATTCTAAGAATAGATATGTATTCTACAAAAATGTGTACTTCCTTCAGAAAGTTGCAGACTAGGAGAAATTATGTATTACAGAAAAAAATGCATATTTGGAGAAGGCATGCCCGTTGTCAAGTTTTTATGGGGTTTTTCTTCGTCTGGTATTTATTTTAACTGTTTATGTGTAATTTGTGACAAATTGGTGTATATGTTCATGTGATTTTGGCAAATAAATGTATGATTTTGATACATAAGAGTGTGTGGGCTGATAGCTTCTAACTACTCTAAAAGCGAAGCGCAAGAATCTTTGGTTTTTAATGGTGGAGTAGATTGGGTTAGTAGTTTGTTGGTTAATTGAAAGGTATGCCTTCCTTTCTTTTTTTATTTTTTATTTTTTCCTTTTTTTTAAATTAGTAATTGTCACTTGACAGAGTGGAATGGCAGAAGAGGGTTTGTGTAACTGAATCCAAATAGTTGGGATAAGGCTTGAATGTTGTTGATGATGACGAATGCTTACTTTTAACTGAAAGTTGGGCATTGTGAGGGTTTAATAGGGCGCAAATCAATGAGTTACATATAGAAGAGGAGGGTGCACATTAATGAGATATAAACACAAATTGATGGGCTCTTATTGGTAGTCCAAGGGATTTCTAGTCTTAGGGATGGTTAAGATTATATCGATCAAGAAAGAAGTTATGTTTATTGATTTATTCCTCCGATGCATGGGTTGATATGTCTTGTGGTGAGTTGTCAAAAACTTACAATTAAGCGTGAAAGAGAAGTTTTTGCAAGAGAAAAGCATAGGTTAAGTTCTGATGGTTCAGTAGATGTTAGGTGGCAATGAAGAGATTCCCAAACAATCTGACCTCTAAATAAAAGGGCTTAGGGACCTTTGGAGCCAGAATGGATACTCAGATGAGTTGATATGGGCCATGAACAGGTCGACGGGGAGGAAATGACGATGTTGTCAAGCTTTATTTTAATCCATGTTGTGGGGTTCACATCCCTTAGGTTTTGGCTTGGTGGTAAACATATCAGTTTTGGTGAGGGAGGTCAAGGTTCAAAAGTCTGAAGTTTGTTCCAAAAAGCCAAAGAAAGCTAACCTAGCCTTTTAGGAATGGCATCTAAGCCTAGGTGGTTAAGGTGGCAGTTCCATGGCATGACATCTTGAGTTTTATTCCTACAACTGAATTACCATAAAAAAAAAAAAGATGTTGGGTTCACCTTAGTTACCTGTTTTGTTTGGTTAGAGAGGAGTGATTTGGTGCCTTGAGGTAAGGTCTCTGAACACTGGAAAGATGATAAAACAGGAGATTTGTCCAAGTCTCTTATTTATCAAAAAAGGGAAATACTGAACTTAATAATTTAGACATTCAATTATAGAATCATTTAAAAATTATGCTCATCAACACTAGCAAATTGTTGTTTATCTAATCCATCCATCTATTACTTAACATTGTTAAAGAAAATGTTATATCTCTTCACACATATTTCAATCTTTAGGTAGTGTTGTCTTCTAATATCAGTTCAGACTCTAAGAACTCTGGTCCAAGAAGTGCTAATAGCTCAAACTTAATAACTGTTAGTGGTATGTTAATAATGAACTTCTTACTGACATTAATGAGCTATTGTGATTATGATAGGCTTTGGAACTATCCCTACAAATCAAAGACAAAAAAAAAATGTATTGGAGCTATCCCTCTCTAATTTGATGACAGTGATAAAGAAAGATTAAGCTTAGTTCTGAAATCTGTTGTAATAATTATTACCCAAGACCATCACTAAATGTCCTGAATAAGGGTAATCATCTCAAGTATTATCTTAAAACATTTTATGTAGTTTAGCCTAAAGTTAAAAAAGGTAAGGGGTTGGGGCCTATGCTATAGACCCTTAGTCGTAACTTTATTAGGTATTAAGAGGTGAAAATAGTGTTTTGTGAGTGGTTAAAGATTGAAGTAGAGGACAATGCGGCTATTCATCTTTGAGGTTTATCATTTCCTGGCAAAGTGGGAGACTAGGATTTAGCATTGTATAGTAGGAGATGGAGCGAAAATTTCCATTGGCAGTGTAGGACAGATGCATGAGATGCATAATTTAAGGACTTATGTGATTACCTGAGGCCATAAATGATATGTTGGAGAGAAAAGGTCAAGATCCTTTGGCTAAGTGGAAGAGCTATAAACGTGTGCACTTCCTCAGAATGGCAAGCATTGGCGATGTAATTTTGTCTATTCATTGATATGAGATACAATATTTTTGTAATATTTTTATCACATAGAAGCAGTGTGTGTTTCTTTCTTTGAAAATTTTATACAATTGAAGACTTACTCTAAGTGGAGATGTGCACCTGGAATTTTATATGATCGTCGCACACAGAATTAAAGCTGGATGGGCGAAGTAGAGATGTGCAACTGGAATATTATGTAATCCCTCATAGTAATGAAGCTGAATGGCAAGTTCTATAGGACAGCTGTGAGACCAACTTTGCTCTACGGAGCGGAATGTTGGGCAAGCAAAAAACAATATACCCATAGAATGAGTGTAGTAGAGATGAGGATGTTGAGATGAATGAGTGGCAAGATAAAAAGAGATAGAATTTGAAATGAATTCATTCGGGAGAATTTAGGTGTAGCATCAATAAGTGATAAGATGAGAGAGAGTAGACTTAGGTGGGCTGGCCATGTATGACGCTGAGGTGCGAGTTACTTCAAATGCAAAGACTGAAAAGGGCAAGGGGTAGGCCCAAAAGGACATGGTTGGAAGGAGTCCGAAAAGATATGGGGACTTATGGCCTCATTGAAAGTATGTCCTTTAATAGAGCAGAATGGCGGACCAAGATTCTTGTAGACTACCCCAATTAATTGGGAAATGGATATATTGATGATGAATGATAGAGGACGTACTCTAAGATTGGAGGCATTAGAGATTGATACATTGCCCAAAGGACAAGTAATAGATGGCTCAAATATGGTTCTAAAAAGGAGGTGTAGAAGACAGCATGTAAGCTGGGTGCTATAACCAACCAAAAGGAAAAAAATCCAAGGCCGGGATACCGAATCTGGTCCATATGGTGTTTTTCCTTGCACTATACCTGTACTGATGGCCAGTGTATACCTATATATTTTTAGTGGCAATTTCCTTCATAAAACAATGATCAATTGCAGGTCAGCTCTTCATTTTGTTAAGGGTAGAATAATATCAACAAGTACGGAGTCCAGTTTGAAACAACAAAGCTCGGTGCTCGAGTCAGGTCAGCTCAGTGCGTGATGGATCTCGAAATAAAATCTCAGGACTCACCTGAAGTCGTGAGTGATTGCTTTGTTAAAAATACAGAGTCCTACTTGGAACTCGCCCAAGTCAGTCCGAGAGACTCAGGCTTAGGAGCCTGGCATGTCCCAGCCCGAGCCCATGTTTTTAACACTGATACAGATCAATCAGTTATTTGGTGGCTTATAATAAGCTATTAGCAGAGGTCTGAAACTGATCTGTTACTTCCTTTGCTGACCTTCCCAACAGTTCTCAAAGTTGGGTAACCCGTGCATGCTAATGTCACTGAATTACTATTACCAGTGTCAAAATGTAGATCCCCAAACTATTTCTGGTATGACTGTTTCTCATTTTTGATGGAATATCTCTATTGTTTCTGCATCGTTCTCTAGTACATTGTTGAATGGAATGCTTGTAGTTTTGCATTCCCCAATAAGATTGTCGAAAGACATAAAAGAGTACATGGTATACATAATGAAATATTTCATCACAAAGTCACAAATTTTACTTTAAAATGGTGTTCATAGCTGAGTTGACTTCGACTTGGCCGAAATACTCAGCCTCGGCTAGTGACTGAGGCGAGTCCACATGTACCCACTTGGATACATGGCAAAGCGTAGAGTACTTGCATCAGTATGGTCTACAAAATCACTAGATCTACCTACTAGAAGCATTAGATACAACAAAAGATCATTTTATATTTCTCTCATTTTGAAGATCAAAAAATTGGGGATTTTTTACCTGATTTTGAAAAGTTTAATTTCTTTGATTCTGGATGCCGACCTTGATGAAAATCAAAGACTAGGTTCACCTTTGTGTTCCTGATCCACCTATAGTCTAGTTCCCCCCACCAAAAAAAAAGAAAAAAAATTGTAGGTCCTACTTTGGGAATTGTATTTAGGGCAAGTTTTCTATGGTTCCCCTACAACATAAAACGATATACTTCCCCTTACCCAACCTTCCATTCTGAATAGAGGGCAAAGATTGCCCCTATCACAATGTCACGTCTCCACACTATTTATTTTTAATTTCTTTCTATAAACTATTTAGACTCCAAATTTTGGACGTCCATTCCTCTATTAAACTCGCACTAGCAAAAAATATATAAAAAATATTTTCAATAAAATAAAATGACCAATATATCCCTGAAATTTTCAAGGGGTATTTTGGTCATTATTTTTTATCGAAAACTTATTGTTAATATTTTTTATAGGTGCACCCCAATGAGAAGATGGCACGTACTAAATTTCATATTCAGACAATTTGTATTAAAAAAACTAAAAATAAAATACTTTGAGACGTCGGATCTAAGATCAAACGGTGAGCAACTCTCTTGATCAAAATTGGATGGCTGTATGGTAGGGGGAGGATAGAACTTCTATGCTGCTGTAGGGGAAGTATAGAAACCCTTACCTTGTATTTATTCTTTTTTCTCCTTTTTGATTTTTTTCATATTTTTTATTTTCTACACCAGTAACTAAGAAATATTCTTTGCATTTCATGTTTTATATACATTTTCTTTTCTTTTCTTTTTTTTAGTTTTTATGATTTTTCCTGTTATGCCCGTGTTTGTTTGTTTTTTGGGCTCGGTGTTTGTTTTTTTTTATGATTTTAGTTTTTGGGCTCGGTGCAGAATTCAAGGGAGTCTGCTTAGACTTGCCAGAGTTATTCAACTCAGGCAAGGGCCAAGTCCCAAGCCCAATAAAAGTTTTGAAACCTTGCTTTAATATTACCTCAAATATTTTAGAGAACCATGTCTCTCTAGTTGACATTGGGTGTCTCTCAGTGCACCCTCTTAATGTACCATACATTGGATGCAAAGAGACAATGCCAATGTCAACCAAGAGCGAGAGATTAGTACTTTAAACCTTACATATCCATAAATTTACATTGTCTCATGTTTTTGCCCGCTCTCACTACAGGTAGTAAAGCCGAAGAACCAAAGACTGCAGGTGACCCCCTAGCCGCCCTAAGCAAGGGCGGTACCCTCATGGTGTGTCGTACTTGTGGCAAGAAGGGCGACCACTGGACCTCAAAGTGCCCTTACAAAGACCTTGCCCCACCCACCGAATCCTTCATTGACAGGTCCTCAGCCACTGAAGGGACTGCTGCTTCTGCCCAAGGTGGGCCCGCCAAGGGCACTTATGTCCCACCAAGTATGAGAGGTGGAGCCGAGAGGAGTGGAACTGAAATGAGGAGGAGAAACGAAGAGAATTCAGTAAGGGTCACTAACCTGTCGGAGGACACGAGAGAGGCCGACTTGCGCGAGCTTTTCCAAACCTTTGGCTCGCTGAGTAGGGTCTATGTGGCTGTAGACCAAAAGACAGGCATGAGCCGGGGATTCGGGTTCGTGACCTTTGTCAATAAGGAGGATGCACAGAGGGCAATCAACAAGCTCGATGGGTACGGGTACGATAACCTCATTCTTCGGGTCGAGTGGTCGACCCCAAAGGCAAATTAGAGGTGATTGTCGTTTCGAGGTTTTTTCTTCTAGTATATTTGTTTTAACCTTGTACTTATCCCAAAGAGCTGAATTAAAATTTTGTTGATTGCCCTTTCAAGATTTTTTTGGGTATATTTGTTTTAACCTTGTAGTGATCCCGAAGAGCTGAATTTTTGTCAGTGAATATTGCTGTTTTATTTCTTTTGAGTGTATGGACATGGAAGAATATTGCTTGTTCTTTCAATTTACATGGCTTGCACTGGTGGGTCGGTGGACAGTAAGATTAAGGAACTTATGGTAGTGATACCCAAAATTGGTTTTGTTTTTTGAGCACTTTCAATAATAGGGTTTACTTGGGTCATCACACTCCAACCCAGACTGAAAGTGATGGAAGGGGATAACATACAACGAATTTAATGACTTGTTTCATGGGACCAGCATTCATTTGTTCCGATGATTATATGGATCGTACTCCCTAATTCTGGAGACTTAACATCTAAGTGGTATCTATTTTTGCTTTTATTCCCAAATTGGCCTGGAGTCTTGAAAATCGGACTGATTTCCAGTTTTTCTTCTGGCTTTGGTTTGGATACTCAAAGAGGTCAAGAGTTTTCATGACTCGTTTTTTTTTCTCCTAATGTTCTGGCTCCTTGATTTGGATTGGTCCCTCAACTAATCTATCATTGGTTGCAATCGAGACGGTTCAGAACTTCATGTTTCCAATCAGTCCTTCATTAGAAAATAGAAACCAAATTGAAGAAGGATTCCGAGCTTCCAGTTATCGACTACTCTTTTCACTGGCTCCTAAGAAAAAGGTGTATTCCTCTCCATGGAGAGGACATCATATACCTAGTCTCTCAACAAAAAAAATGCAATTTTGAATTAAAAAATCAGATTTTTATTCAATTTTTTTCATTAGGTGATTCTAGGGGAGGCAATGGACCCGGACTTGACGCAGGACCCACTGGGTATACCCGACACTGGTCTGGGTATGTGTCTAACATTTGGACCTGACGGGTTGGATCCAGGTCCAAAACCTGGACCCGAACACTATTCGGGTCTAAGTCCAGGTCCAAAACCTGGACTCGAACACTATTCGGGTCCAACCGTAAACTGTTTGAGATAGAATACTTCAACCCCTATTCGTTTGGGCATATTAATGTTCTTATACCATAAGAACTTGTAGTCATTTTTAGCTATTATTATTAACTCGTAGTCATCTTTAGCTATTATTATTAAACGACAAATCTGTCAGTTTGAAATCTAATGGTGGATGATTGTGACCTTGTTGCCAATAATATAGGTATATGATGGTAAAAAAATGGTAAAAAAAGAAGAAGCTCATAGTGAGGGTGGCAAGGGACCCGATCAGACCTGGGACTCAACGGGTACGGGTATGGGTCCAACTTTTGGACCCGAATACTATTTGGGTCTGGGTCGTGGTCCAGTCGGACCCAAGCCCTTGCCACCCCTAGGTGATTCTAAGGTACTCCAGAAAATTTTAGATCAAAAAATTATGTTTTACTCGAGGAAGCAAGTGCACAATGTGCTCCTGTCATGAAGAAAAACATGGGTAAAAAAGTGCGGTGTGGATTTATATATTTGAGGTCTACATTAGAACCACCTGATAATTTATAATAAATAAAAATTAGAAAAATTTCAATTTAAAATTGGATGAGGTTTCTATAAGGCCTAGGCTTTATGAAAACAAAATAGGGTCTCACATCAAATCTTCATCCGCAAAGCAACAAAACAAAGTCTCACCTCAAATCCGCAAAGCACTTGGCACAAAAAAATTCTCCACGATGGTTCTAAAATCAATTTTCAACACCAACAATGAAATTTAGAACTAAAAAATGGTACAGATCTTGTGGATCTATGAACACTTATTTTTAGGGAGTTGTTACAATATACATTTTTTTTAGAGCTTGAAATCCTATATTTTGTTTACAACCATAATTTTCAAGCCAAGATGATCAATATCAAGGATTTTTAATGCTTGAATTGCATTCGATAAGTTATGATTCACTTCCTCCAAGTATACAAAGAGACTATTTATTTATAGTATAAGAAAGTCACAATCAGTTTTGTCTGTCGCATTCTAAATTGGGTGGTTAAGTGTGTCACTTATTAGATTTAATGTTAAATTTTTTTTCTCAAACTTTATGATACACACCAAGCCATCCAATTATATGTCACCATATAATTGCTAGGAATGATAGTGGCCTCCTTATAACAATGATAAATGGTCTTATAGTTACAATCCCTAAAAAACAAGTGATGAGTGTTTTTTAGAAAAAATAAATAATGAAAAAAATACATGAGCATACATATGAAATATTTTAAATAAATTATACAATATATTAGCGTAAACTTCCTTATTTTCCATGTATACTCCCTCCAAAACCTGACACTTAATGGACATAGACAGACATGTCGACTTTCTATAGAGCTCTCTTAGCTTGTGTTCTTTTTTTTGGACATGTTTCATTCTTTGAAGTTGGTATTTTTTTTGTTTAAAAATTCCAATTCAACAATAATTTATATTTTATTTTAAAAATATTTTTAAATGATAAAAATAGTTTAGAATAAAATGATTTTTTAAAATATTTTATATTGAAGGTGAGAGTGGTGTCATCATATATTTTGGTTGAATTCATTAGGACCCCATTCAAAATCCCTGCAATAAAGGCGTTGTATTTTGATTTAATAATTAACTCATGGTTTTTAGCTTTTCTCCATGTTGTCTTGACACAACCTTACAGCGGTTTATAATCAATATTTGATGAATAAAATTCTAATTTATCAAGTGGCATTTTTAAATTATCAATGTAATTTAATTTTTTTATACTGCTTTACTATTGTTGTGGCATATAAACTGTGGAATACGTAAATGCAAACATGGACTACACATAAATTTTAATAAAGAAGATATACAAATAGACTATTTATTTTTTATTAAAAAAGATCACAATTATTCATGTCTGTCAAACTTCAAATTGGGTGGTTATAAATGTGCCATTGATTAAGTTTAAAAATTAAAAAAAAAACTTTATCAAACAAGTTGTCCAATTTGAAATTAGATAGCTCGAGGTATTTGTGACCCCGTTATTACAAAGGTAAACAATCTCATAGTATACAATCCCATCTTAATATATAGACATGTGCATATACGCAGACACCCACATAGTATATGGATATGTTCGTATCTAAACATTTTTTTTAAATTCACATAACACCCATATAGTATACGGATATGTCATACCCATTTTTTATTTTTAATTCAAATTTCTGACACTGAAACCCATGATACAAAATATACGCTACACCAAATTACAACCCAATACTCCAAGAAAATTAGTGTGGGCTGTAAAGATGGACGGTCACGGCCGCCCGTGAATACTCACTAAACACGCTACGCTAGTAATGGTAACGTCATCCCACCATTCATCTCGAAAGGCGACGGTTATAGTTGATCCTATCTACAGTTATTTTACACAAGAGCATACAGCGAGTTATGAATTCCGGGACATGTTTGGTATATCAAGATAGGCTGGGGTTGTTTTAGTTATTTTCTTAGACAAAATCTATTTTTTTTGTTTTTGCTCATTCCGCCCCCTCTATATAATGGTGAACAAGAGCTAGGGTTTCGTCTCAAGCTCCTCCTCACGGTTGCTAGCTAGCTAGAGCGAGAGAAGAGAGGAGAGGGAGCGACTTCAGAGATTTCATTACAAGATGGGGTATTCTTCTTCTCTCTACTATTTTGTACTTTCGATCTCTTTGATGAGTATTCGCGGAGTTTTTCACAGTTTTAGTTTTATTTGATGAGTATTAGCAGATTTTTTTTAGAGTTCTCAGAGGTATTCCATGCCTTTAACAGACAAGCATGGTCTGAGATTTGAGTGTTTTTCATATGTGGTTCCTCCTTGTGATCGATATCCTGAGAATGAGGGCTGCTTAATTGTATATAGAGCTCTGAGATCTATCTCCATTTCTTTTTTGTTGTTTTGTTATGTTTTGTTTTGTTTTTAGGTGTGAAACCTTTTAATATGGATCTGATTACTTTGTACAGTTTCATGAATTGTGTTTGTTGGTCTGAATGCTTTGTTGGATTGGATGCATTGTGTTTGTTGGTCTGAATGCTTTGTTGGATTGGATGTTCAGTCATTGAAATGTTTGGGTTGACGTGATTTTGCATTTACTTACTATATTCGGGGATATTGATTTCTTTCCTCTTTTTTTTTTTTAACTGTTTTTGTCTCAGATCTCATGTAAGATCTCATGTAAGGTTACATGTCTTCCATATCGAGATTGGCCATTTGAAATGGATATGAATAATATTAACTCTAACCCTATTTAATACATTTGCACATTTCGTTACACATGTATCCAAGTTTTTGATGATGCCCTGTCTCAAGTTCTCTATTCATGTGCTTTCCTTATTTGAAAATGTGTAATTATTGGGTTTGAAGTCTTGCACAGGGATTTTTTTTAGCCCTAAGAAGGGCTGAAATTTGTTGTAGTCTTTGCGAAAAAATATAACCTATTTTCTCTAACTTTTTGTGCCATAGGGTATTATTTGCCCCTATGTCTTCTTCTTTATTTTAGAAGAATAATTTTTTTTTGTTTGAAGATTTAGATTACTTGCTGAGCATTAATGAAAAGAAAATGAAAATATGCGTGTGATAATGTTCCATATGAGAAGCATTGGATAATATTTACATCTTTCTGATTCGTTCTCCGGCATCCTCTAATCAATTATGGTTGAAACCTTGGTTTTCCCTTCAAAGAAAAACCAAAACATACGAGTATGTAAAAAAATCGTATATAAAAAAGGTAACTCTGAGAGCGAGTTCGCTCCCAAACATAGTTTAGGTTTCCTGACTTTGATGAATACGGGGGAAATTGTGATGTTAGTGCTGCGCCAACATTTATGTCCTAGTCCTTCATGCAACTTAAGACTACTATTCTAGAAATTGGTTTATGATATGTATTGATTTATGAGATATTGATGGTTACATAACTTTTGACACTTGAGACACAAATATTAGCATTGATTTTCATTTTTTAGAGTTGGTTTCATTCCCTTGGAGAAATTTTGTGGGTTCTCTGTTTTGCACAATAACTTTTGGATTCTTCACCCTTTTGATTGTCGACATTTTGGTTTCCTGTAGAAGTGTTTCTATAATTCATGATTTTCTAATATTTTTTGCCCCTTCAGATATTTTGAAAATTCTTTATTTTCCCATCTACTTCTTATAGTGGTTTTTAGTTTCTCTGTTTATATTTTTTTCTATCTAGTGCATGTGTGCTACATGTACCAGGAGATGGGGGTTTCCTATGGCCCATTTCTTGCTTTGCCACTTTGGCTGTAGCCATAACAAAAGCAGTCTTTCTCTTCAGGAGCTATAACTGGCCGGGTGTTAGTTTGATATCATTGACAACTGCTTACCGAGCTTCTGACAGTATTGCATGGATGTCACCATAAAAATGATCAATGTGAAAGAAACGATATGTAGGAATTAATAGTAATTTCTTTTTAATTTAGATTTTCAAGTTTTGTTTTCGTTATTTACATGTGTGGTTATTTGAAGTGCAAATTTCAATGAACCATTTGAAAATATGCATTATTCTTTATCTTGTCTGTCTCTGTTGTTGTGAACCTATGAAAAAAGAATTTAGACCCTTTCATGTAATAATATTCTCTGGTGCAGGATCTGGGAGATAGCCCTTGATAAGAATGGGCCCCTCTCTGTTGCAACAGAATAGATCAATGTCAAGATATCGTTTCAGTTACTCTGTATTTTATGGGCGATTTGGTTGTTGCTTGATAACAGTCTTCTCCCAATGATATTGCCCTTTATAAAATTGATAATCTATGAACACCAAAACAAAGTCCGAACTGGCTATTGTGTAATGGAAATCTCTGGTGCAGGATCTGGGAGATAGCCCCTGATAAGAATGGGCCCATCTCTGTTGCAACAGAGGAAATTAATGTCAAGATATCGTTTCAATTGCCCTGATTTGAATGGGCAATTTGATTGTTGCTTGACAACAACCTTTTTGCCACTTTACTTCCATGTTTCATTTGAAAATTTGGGAAGGTTTCTTATCTATTCCTATGTTTTTGTCATAAAAAAAATGTTTATTTTAATCTTTTTTATTATTGTTTTTTTAATTTTGTAAAGCCAAGGGAAAGGAAAAATTTAGCTGCAAATTTTACAAGATTCTGAATGTTTCAGTTAAATGGCGCATTCTTCTTAGTTAATGTAATAGGTTTTGTACTTATTCTCTGAGGAAATCATGCTACACTCATGTTCACTGGGGATAAATGATTTGGCCCATTGGTCAGTTATTAAATTGAGATCTTTATCATGCACATTTCCATGCAAGCCGCTCTCTACTACTCTGCAGGCAAGTGTTGAGAGCTTTGTTAGGCCAAATTGCTTGCAAATGTTCGATTTGTGTGTGTGCACGTGAGCTTGCATGGTTTGTGTTTTTTTGATATCTCTTGCTATACGTCTCCATAAATCTGCCATGAGAGATTTGTCCACCAAAATTGCTTGCAGAAGTTCGTTGTGTGCCTGCATGCTTGCATGATTGGTTCCTTCTGGTTCCCTTTCGATATATTTCTATTTTTCTTGCACAATTTTGGAATCGTTATTTTCTTTTTAGCTTGCACAATTTTGGAATCACTAGTTTCTTTTTGGCAGGAAGACACGTGGTATGGGAGCTGGGCGCAAGCTCAAAACTCATCGAAGGAGGCAGAAGTGGGCTGACAAATCTTACAAGAAGAGCCATCTTGGCAACGAGTGGAAGAAGCCTTTCGCAGGTTCTTCTCATGCCAAGGGTATTGTTCTAGAGAAGATGTAAGAACAATTTGAATCCCTTTATTTTCCACATTTGTTTTATTAAATTTTGTTTTGTTTTTGATAAACGGTATTTATTTTAGATTTTCCTCCATTCTCATATTGTGTGATAAATGATGTTTTTCAGAGGCATTGAGGCCAAACAGCCAAACTCCGCTATCCGAAAGTGTGCAAGAGTTCAGCTTATTAAGAACGGAAAGAAGATTGCAGCATTCGTTCCCAACGATGGTTGTCTGAATTACATCGAGGAAAATGTAAGCACTTGATTTCATTGACATTCTGCTTTGCATTTTCTTTTTCTTCATAATTGGAACCGTATAAGCACATACAGAGGATGGCACGAACATCCTAATCAATTTTAGAGACGGGGTTTCTGGAATTACTATTGTTGGGATTACTATTGTTTTCTAATCAGGACAAAAACCACAGTACCTCTTGGGAAATGGGAAAACTCTTTCTTTCCTGAACTAACTCTGAGGAAGCTCGAAAGAGAGGGAAAGCTGTGTAACCATATGTAATTTGGAAACAGATTTGGGTGGGTAGTTTCGGACAACTAGGAATTTCAAGCCTTATAGCAAGACAGGCCACATGATGCTTGTGAACCCCTGCCTCGTTCTTTAGGGCGATGTGGATGTTCTTGTTGTATCTTATGCTAATCTTTTGCTAAGATGGGCTGTAGGCATCCCAGGCTGTACCTATTCTAGTGTGTACCTCTCAAAATCCATGTTTGGAGATGGATTGAGGATCCCAAACATGGATCTTGATTGAGCCTCGTAAATGATCCATCATGTAACTTTTCTTTGGGCCTTCATTTCAATTCTTTGAAGATCATCAGGTCTACAATATTTTTTATTGATCTCTAAATTCATGGATCTGATGGAAATTACAGTTTAGGATGCATTCTGGGTCCCAAACCCTAGAAAACCAGGATGAAAACCAGTGTGTATGCGTGAGGCTGCAGGATCACCTAAATCTTGTAATATGGATGAGGTTGAATTACAAAGGAAGTCCTTCCAAGTCTGCAACTTTTTTTTGATACCCTTACCTCTTGTTTTAAGAGGTTATTGTGTTTTTGTGAAAGGCCATGATCCACATGATTTTTGTTGTTCCTTATGGAAGACCATAATGCACATGAATTTGTTGTCCCCTTTGAAAGGTTGTAAAACATTATCACTGTATAACAAACAGTGACTCCTCCCAAATTTTATGTCGATGGGATGGATTGGATGCTGATGGAGAAGAATGGGAACCACCTAATGCTCTTTAATTCCATGCGTACCTCTCTCTGTCCAATGTTGAACCCTTGATTGGATGGCGTGATCACCCTTATTTCATGTGGATGTCTTTTCACCATTTATAGTGTTAATTTAATTCCATTGTCATTAGTTTGATTTCTCTGTGAAATTTTTAGTTGTTCTGCTGTACTCGCACTATTAAATTGTTATATATTCATTTTCACAGGACGAGGTGTTGATTGCTGGGTTCGGTAGGAAGGGGCATGCAGTGGGAGATATTCCTGGGGTGCGTTTTAAGGTGGTCAAAGTCTCTGGGGTCTCGCTGTTGGCCCTTTTTAAGGAGAAGAAAGAGAAGCCTAGGTCATGAGTACCTTGTTTTTGTTTCCTCTGTATCTTTTATTTTGTTGTAGGGTGCATTTGCGAGGCAGTTCACCTCCCCCCTCTATTTTTGGCGTTTGCAAGAGTACGGGTAAGATTGATAAGATAAGCTTAACATTGGTCGAATTTTGGTCTTGTTCACATATTTTAAGTTTATGCTTTGATTATAGGCAGCTGCTTTTATTTTTTTCTTGTACACATCAATCTATCATTTCATCAAAATCATTTCCAGCTGTACTCCAAAATATTGGCTTTAGAAAACTTCTGAGCCCTTGTTTTTTTTGCATATGAACATTGACAACCGTCTCACCCAAGATAAGGTATTTCTGTACCAAACACATTGGTTGGAGTACTGCATCCATCACTCTTGAAATTGGATCTGTGGTGTCCATTAGGGGTAGCATAGCAGTGGCTTCGTCATTTAACATTGTTTTGGAAGCTATGGCTTCCAGAACAATGAACAATTAACAAAATAGTTGTTATGGTAATTGGATGCCGCCACAGTGTTGCTTCTTACTGTCACACATGAGAAGTGGCTTCCAGTTATAAAATATATGTTATAACATGTGAATGGATACATGTTTTTTTGAAAAATCTTATCTGTTACACGATCCATCTCATCAGAAGCTTTAAAAAATTTGCCTATTTCTCTCCAACCAAACTTCTCCGAGGATTGAAGCCTTCAAAATCTACCAAATCATCTACCCCTTTTTAAGGGAAAGAAGGAATTGAGAGCTGATCTAACAGATCAAGATGTGCTGGTAATGACATTTGAAAATCTCTAAGGATTGAAGCCTTAAAAATCTACCAAATCATCTACCCCTTTTTTAGGGAAAGAAGGAATTGAGAGTTGATCTAACAGATCAAGATGTGTTGGTAATGGCATTTGAAAATCAATAACTTGAAAGGTTCGGGTCCACGATGCTGAAGTAAATTGACAATGAATGAACAAATGCTTTTCAGTCGCTTCATCATTTTTACACAACATGTAAATATTATTTTTACACAACAAGCAAATATTGACGATTATCGTTTCCTTTTTCAAGTTATCAATTGTTTGTACTTAATTTTGCAAAAGAGTCCACAAAAAGATTTGAAACTTATGTGGGATTTGCCATTTCCAAATGGATATGAGCTTTGGTTGTTCTCAACTTAGTCTATCATGAAATAATAAATGATGCACCGACTTCATTGATAATATTCCATCTGTAGTTAACTCCCGACAACTTCATCCTCATGATGCATGGATATAAATCGTATCAAGATCTAGCAACAATTCACAAAATTGATTAAGAACAACATCTGGCACTCCATTATAGCTCAAACGAATATCCCAGGACAAAATTGATTAAGAACAACATCTGGCACTCCATTATAGCTCAAATGAATATCTCAGGAAAATCTATCAAAAGTCCACCTAACCTCCACTTTTTAATGCTGATTGATTGTCTTATCAAACACTTTTTAATATTTAAACCTCAACAGTCACTCATGATTCCAAAAATCAATAGTGGACCGTATACCTACTTCCCACCTCACACCTCTCACCACCAATTTTTTAGTGGAGTATATACGCCTTTCCAAAATTGGGATTGACAACTTCCTCCTCTTCCTTTAATAATAAAGCCACTATTATCCGCACCATATTTGGCAACCAAAACTTCATTCCACAATTGATCTTCATCATTTAAAGACCTCTACCACCATTTCGATAACAGAGCTAAATTAACTAATTTGATCTTACGAATCTCTAGACTTCTTTCAGCTTTAGGAGTACAAATTTTATCCCAACCCACCAAATGGAATTTTTTGTTACCATCAAACAAGCCCCATAAAAAATTACACATATGCCACTCAATTTCTTTAACAATAGGGGTTGGCATATAAAGCAAGGATAATAGGTACACATGCATATTAGATAGAGTTGATTTGATTAGAGTAATATGCCCTTCAAGAGATAAGAATTTAGACTTCCATAAATCCAGCTTGGAGATAAGTTTATTTATTATTGGATCCCACACCGATCTTGATAGCCTTTTATCCGAAATAGGAATTCTTAGATAATTAAAAAGAAGACTACCAACCGTACACCCCATCATCAAAGCTAATTTCTCAATCAAGACAACTTTAACACCAACACCCACTAAAGTGGATTTTGAAAAAGTATCTTTGAGACCCATGATAACCTCACAACGTCATAAAAATAAAGAGATAACTTGTACCTGATTCACCTTTGTATCACAGAAGATGAGCGTGTCATCCACATATTAGAAGTAAGAGATAATTGGCCCCCGAACAGCCACCTTGAAGCCATTGAACCTACCTCTCTGTTCAATTCTTTTAAGCATTAGGCTAAAACCATGTGTCACCAAAGTGAGCAAAAATGGTACCAACTGATCTCCTTGCCTCAAACCTCTGGAAGCCTTAAAAAACCACTTCGAGTGTCCATTCACCAGAACTGAAAAATGAGCCGAGGATAAGCAACCTCTAATCCAACTTCTCCATCTGACTCCAAACTTCTTTTTTAGCATTATTTCATTTAAAACATTCAACTCAACCCTATTATATGCCTTTCTAAAATATAATTTCAACACCACACCTGATTCTACGCATAGAACTCTAGAATGAAGACATTCATGAGCAATTAAAATACTATCCGTGATAATTCTTTCTTTAATAAAAGATGACTGTGGGCTCGAGACCATTAATGACAAAACCTTCTTCAGTCTGAAAGATAGCAACTTTGCAATAATCTTATAGAGACTTGTCAGCAAACTAATACGTCTCAGATAAAAAATACCAGCATGTGCATCCCTTTTAGGAATTAGAGAAATAAACGTAGAGTTAATGCTCTTATCTATAACACCATGATTGAAGAAATCAACCACCATATGAAAGACCTCTTCCCCTACAAAATCCCAAAACTTATGAGAAAAAAGCAATGGGAAACCATTTGGTCCTGGTGCTTTATCCCCATTAAGAGATAAAACAACAACACGTTTTACTTCTTCCATAGTGGCAGGTATTTCCAATTCCCGGGCCTGAAGATCAGATAAAGTTTGAAACTGCACCCCAAGAAAAGAGGCACCCATAATGCATTCGTTGGTAAAGGCCTCAAAATGTTTTACAAACTTATTATCCCAAACATCACCATCCTCCTCAATTAAATTACCAAAAGAGATTCCAGAGATATCATTAAGGCGCTTTCTAGAATTTGGAATTGCTTGAAAGAAAGCAGTATTTAAATCACATTCTTTCAACCATTTCACCCTAGATCTCTGTCTCCAATAAACTTCTTCTTGTCTTAACATATCATGCAATTCAGCTTCCAGTCGATCTTTAGTAGTTGCAACCTCCACCGAAAATACTCTCAACAATTAAGTATCCTCCTCTAACGACTGTAATTGTGACATAACACTATCTAATTTCATTTTCAAATAGAACTTATTCACTTGCTTCCAGTCAATTAGATGGTGTTTAACAGTCAACAATTTTTATGGAATCTATAACTATGATGTCCTATCACAATCGTATTTAACCAGATATACTTCACCAAATCAACCACGTCTGGTTCAAGCAACCAATCAACATCCATAAGAAAAGGTCTAGGCCCCATAACATTTTTGCTAGATTGTAAGCATAATGGTACATGATCTGAGGATAATTTTGCCAAAGAAGAAACCAAAGCCAAGGAAAACTGGCTTTCCCAATCCGTCGAGACTAAAAACCTGTCAAATTTGCTCATAACCATATTAACAAGGCTATTATTAGACTAGGTGCACTAAACATCAGACACCGGGAGCTCCATCAGTCCATTTGTCACGACAAAATCATTAAATATTCTCATCCCACCATTATAAGACACATTTGAAGAAGTTTCATCAGAATTGCAGATGAAATTGAAATCCCCCCCACCAAGCAGGCAGGCAGGCAAGCAAGCCTCCTTCAAACATGAAGTTAAATCATTAAGAAACACAAGTTTAAGAGCATGAGTATTAGGCCCACATGCATTCATAAGCAACCAACGAAAATGAAAAAAAGGCCTTAAAAAACCATTACCACAAAACCGATCATTGATGATTGTCTGAGAACAAAGCACTACTGATGATCCCAAATTCCCCAAAGGCCACCAGAAAAACCCACAGCATATATACAATATATACAATATTGTACATACAATATATACAATAATATATAATATACAATATATAATATACAATATATATATTCAATATACAATATATAATATACAATATACAATATACAATATACAATATACAATATACAATATACAATATACAATATACAATATTCAATATATTGTATACAATATACAATATACCATATACAATATATACAATATACAATATACAATATATTGTATACAATATAAAATATACATTATTGTATTGTATACAGTGTATACAATGTATATTGGGTATATAGTGTATATTGGGTAAACATTGTATATTGGGTATACGCTGTATATTGGGTATACAGTGTACATTGGGTATACAGTGTATATTGGGTATACAGTGTATATTGGGTATACAGTGTATATTGGGTATACAATGTATATAGTGTATATTGGGTATATTGGTACAGTGTATAGCCAATATACACTGTATACCCAATATATCCAGTATACAGTATATTGGGTATATCTAGTATATTGGGTATATCTAGTATATTGGGTATACAATATATTGGGCATACCCAATGTATAGTATATTGGGCTTACCTAATATACAGTATATT